ACAAACGAAAATTACTGAACATCAGATTCCTGACTTAGGACAGGTGCAAACAATTGCAGCGGGATTAAACGTTTTAATGGTACCAAACCTTCTCCCTTATCTGAAAAAGTAGTGTAACATCACAACATAGAAAGACACACTATAAAATATCAATTGGCATGGCTTAACTCAATCAAAAAACATGTATATATACTTAACTAGGTCCTTGTTTATGACTATTCAATAACGTATTATCGACATATAATACTGCATTCAATGATTGTTGATCGGAATCTAATTAACTTCCGAGTTTGTTTCCGAAGTTAAGCGGATCGTGAGGTTAATAAACAATCAACACAGATCAACACTTACAGCATTAATTGCTTTATGAGATCCTTGATATTTTTTTTATATTTTTCATGCGTTCCCATTTATCAATTAAATGATTGTTTAACATATTTTAAATGATGTGTTGGTTCAATTTGTTGTTTCAGAATCAGCTATTACTATATATATTTTATCTCCTAGTGCACGTTTATTTACACTTGCGCTATGCAGTAGTCGAATTCTATCGAGAGGTCTTGTAGTTAAGGTCTCGACGAATTAGTGTACAAGAAAGCCAAAAGTCATTTTCAACTATTTTTTTTCAATTTGAAGTTTCATATACTTTAATACATATCAATTGATATATGGTTCATACATAGTTCTCATATAAGAGGTTTCTCAATATCTTACAAACAAATGAAAGAAGATGGTCCTAACTGGACGTGAATTACAGTAACGAGAAAAGAGGGAGCATTCATTTATTTATTTAATAATAATGGCCTAACGACTGTTTACATCCCTTAGAAATGTCTTTTACATAAAAAAAAATATGCACACAGGTTTTGTTTTAAACCAATTTGAGTTGATGACATATTTTATTGGCTTGATATATATCATAAATAATATACAATTAACGATTCAATCAAAACAGAAGCATATCTAATTAATCTACAGTTTTTGAAGAAGAATATGAAATATTTAGACAAAGGACAATCAGTATTCGTACAAGATATGTTGATAAACACGACATCATAACGAATATTTTAGTACATACATGTGAAACAGAGTTGATGTAGAACTTCGGGATAGAAGTGGATAGGAATCTCTTTTAAAACTTATCTATATATAGGCTCAGATCAAAGTTCAAACAAAAACCTGAGCAAACATGAGGTAAAACAAGTCTAGGAGGAAGTGCCTATTTATTTCATTTATGAATACTATCGAAAAACGTGGGGATGAATAAAGAAATAGAAATGTCGTAAACGACATCTTATCTCTTTACCCGTTTGTATTAATAATAAATGTTAATCAAAGTTGCTTTACATGAATATGTACAAAAATGTATACACGTACATGTATTAACTTGAATCAGTTAATATGAAAGAAAATTCAACAGTTGTTGTTCATCAAATCAACTTCGGGTCAAACATTTATTAAATAAACGAAGGTAACACAACGTAATTAGATTACGAAACATTAACCAACACTCAATAAATTGGAACACTTATGTTTAACCACAACAATGCAATGTTGATAGAAATGTGTTACTGAACAAAATCACTGCTCCTTAACGTAGATTTTCGTCCGTTCGTAAGATGTTGAGAAACCTCTATTAGCACTTGCTCAAATAAGTTTAACAGAGGGTTAAGTTATAAATCGACCAGTATTGAGTAAAAGAGCGTGAGAAATCAGATATAACCGCTACCATAAAACGTCTACTGCAGATTCTTTAGAGAACAGTTGATACCATATCAAAACTGCAGCTCAACCAATTTTCGAATTATTGAACAACAAAAAAATGACAAAAATTACGGAATCAGTTTACATCACCTTTTACTGTGTAGATATTGTCCTCTCACTAAAGAACTTAATGATTATGTTCAACGCATCTACCCCATTCAGGCCAGAAAAATTAGAGGCTCCAAGGAGCCTGTGTCGTTCACCTGAAATTTTTTTTTACAATTAATGCATGATATAATGCAACCGTTATACTTTTGCTTTAGTTTCAGAAATATAAGTCAAAAACAGCATGTTTCCCTTATGTTCTATTTTAGCCAAGTCTGCCATGTTGGTTGGCAGGCAGGGTTATCAAACACATTTTTTATACTAGATACACTAATGCTGATTGTGGCCAAGTTTAGATAAATTTGTCTCCGTTGTTTCAGGAGAAGACCTTTGTAAAAGATAACAAAAATGTAGGAAAAATTGTTAAATTTGACTTTAAAGGGCAATAACTCCTTATGGGATCAGTTGACCAAGTTGGTCATTTTGACTTATTTGTAGATCTTACTTTGCTGAACATTATTGCTGTTTACAGTCTATCTCTATCTACAATGATATTCAAGATAATAACCAAAAACTGCAAAATTTCCTTAAAATTACTAATTCAGGGGCAGCAACCCAACAACGGCTTGTCTGATTCGTCTGAGGACTGATAGATCTTAACCTGATGAACATGTTTACCTATTGTCAGATTTGCTCTAAATGCTTAAGTTTCAGAGATATCAGCCAAAATCTGCATTTTACCCCTATGTTCTATTTCTAGCCATGTCGGCCATATTTGTTGGCAGGCGGGGTCATCGGACACATTTTTAAACTAAATATCCTCGTGATGATTGTGACCAAATTTGGTTAAATTTGGCTCAGTAGTTTCAGAGGAGAAGATTTTTATAAAAGTTATCGGACGACGGACGCGACGATAACGGACGACAACGGACGATGGACGCCAAACGATGAGTAAAGCTCACTTGGCCTTTCGGCCAGGTGAGCTAAAAACCATTTTGATAAAATGCAATCTTTCTGCTTTCAAATTGTCAACTTTCCATTACTATGTAGCAACAGTACAGTAGCATCAGCCTTTGAAGAATATATTTCTCGGTTTATACAATATTCCATTTAAGCAGGTTGCTGCTTACAATGCATCTATTGTACCAAGGATTTCAAGTTGTAAAGTTGACAACATACCTTCAAAAGTTTTGTTTTCTTGGTAGACTGTAACGGGAAATCTGTTTTACAAATTGTCATGTTAATGTTTCAATTGTCGTTTACCCAAATTTTGTCCTGCTTCCTCGATATCGAATTTTTCATAATTGATTATTACTAAAATCCCAAAATATTGTTTTCTTATACTACTGAATCGACATTTTATATAGATGTTTTGGGTTAAAGGTTGAATTTTGACCGCAACGTTCTTCAATTTTTTGCTTTATTTGACTTTTCTATTTTTGTATCAGAAGGCCACTCTGGTGAGTCTTGTGTAGCGTACCTGATTATGCGCCTGAAATATTTGATGAGTATTTACTTATCATCGCATTTAAAATTATACTTAGAAATAACAAAATTATTTGACGGTTCCACTGTCCACATTAATACCAGACTGGCCAAACGCAAGATACAATGCAACAATAAGTACATTGTTTACAAGAATAATCTATTTGTTTAAGTACTTTTATACGAAGTATTTGTCAATGGAAGTTAGAGTGTTATTGATAACATAATGTTAAACAATTTTAAACTACTTCAAACTACTTCAAACACGAATCTTCATCGCATGTTTCATTAATTGAAACCTTTGTGTAGCATATTATGAATTTTGTCTAAATTTAAGGTTGCACTTTGTAAATAAAGCGGTTTCACAGATCACGCCTCTTTTGGGAAATTATATATAATATTCATAGATGTTTTGTTTTGTTTACCTACTTGTTCAACGATATGAATTCTATGTTCAACTCATAGAGACGCAACTCGGGAATTTGATCAGTATAAAAACATACGAATAGCGGCCAAATTGAATTGTGAGTAGGACCAAAATCGAAGGGAGGGGTAGTATACAATATTAGTATAAGTTTACATTCTAGGAAGTGTGAGGCATATAAATGTTAAAAATAAGACATACAGTCCTATGTGTTGACCTTTGAAAAAGTGAGAAAAAAAAATAGTAGTGTATGTAAACTTTCCATTCTAGGATATAATTGTTTACGAAACATTATAGTACATGTGGCACAGTGAAGCCGTAAAACGAGTTCCTATGGGAAATTGCATTGTCAATATTTACAGAAGTGCAACCTTGAGTAGGTTTAACTGCATTAACTGAAGATACAGAATTGACCTTACTACATGCTTTCGTATATTACACACTGTTATTAGATCTTTTTGTTAAATTTTGTTTTATCGTTATAAATATGATTTGATATCAATGATTTTACCTAAATATTATTAGTTTTAACATAATTATAGTCACGGTCCTACAATCTGTTGATACCCATAAGTTGATTTTAACACAAAGTCATGTTTTTGTCTGTTAATGACGTCCTTACATTAAAGCCATTTGAAGTTGGATGTGGACTGATTGATATGTTAGTCTTAGATACATGATTATTTTTCAGTTGTTTGTCTTTCAGTGACTGCTTGTACTCTTCTTTCTGTACTTTGTGTCTCTTCTGTTTTGTGCTTTGTATTGATCTGATGAGTAACGAACTTTCAATTAATTTTAAAGTTTGTTTTTGTGTTGTGCTGTTACACCACTGTCCTAGGATAAGGAAGGGTTGTACATAAATCAGGCCGTTTATTTTCTCGTTTGAATTGTTTAATACTTGTCATTTTGGGACCTTTTATAGTTTATACTGGATATAGTTTTTGCGCATTTTTGAAGACCGTATGGTGACCTATAGATTCTATCCTCCAACGTCATTTGGTCTTTATATATTTAAGACAGGATTCCATTTAATTCAAAACTATAATGGAAAAAGAATATTGCGTATCAATTCGTGACACAAAATTCTTACGTACATATGATAAATCCAAAAACAAAGGAACAGCCGTTTCAGTGCTGTTCCTAATTTCAAACCGGAGGTGAAGCCTTAGCATGAAGCACACACTCTCACTTATAATTTTTGCACACTTGCACAAAACACTGGTAATAGTGGAATTAGTTGCCGAAAATGTGCATTGATGAAAACAGAATCAAAATATCGACAAATTCTAGATCATATATTTCGAAAAAAAATTCACAAATACTGCCAAAAAATGAAAAACAACATTTTATAAATTTTATGAGTCCGAAGCGCTTTTCTTGATAACTTTCACTAGGAACGCTAAAAAATTATATTCAATAATGTATAAATTCTCGAATAGCTATATGATCACAACAGACCTAACAACATTTAATGACAATTTTGCCTGAGGTAATTGGAACCTTAAGAAAAGTGCCCGAATTCTCACTACCAGCTTTTTATTGAAAGATCTCATAACGACAGTAAAAATCTAACTTGTATTGCAAAATTATAAAATCATGTAAATCATAGGCGTTAACAAGTGGACAACTGTTTTAGCAAATGAATCTTTAATAAAAAATTAAAAAAAACATAAATAAAAGTATTGTAAAAAATAGAGAAAATAATATCTGTAAGTGGTTTGCGGTCCACGTAACTTATGAGGAATGTTACCATAGTCAATGCTGAACAGCTATAAACAAATAATATAATAAACTAAGAAAAGCTCTGGTGACGAAAAACAAATATTCTTTATCAGTCCTCAACATTCAAATAGATTTAAAATGTAAATAAACCATGTCTGTTGGAACCATCTCTTTGACTCTTGACTTTGTTCTATGTTCTCTTGAAAATTCTTTTCCCTATTACATCACCACGTGATAAAGTCTGAAATGACATTTTGTTAATTCGTTTAGAAGAAGAAAATAGTTGTTTGGTCTATTCATATTTTACAGACTCGGGTAGATTTCGCTTTTGGCAAAGTGTATTGACATTTGTTTGTTGTTTAAGGCTGTACAATGTTATTTTGTCCTTGACTTGCTGTCTCGTTGTCTTATAACCCAAATTTGTGCGCAGAATGTATTTACTTGAAATAACAGAACAGACTGGAATTCTTCTTGGCTAAGTTTTTAAGTAAAAATGGTCTGATGAGGTAAAATATAAAATACAGTGATATGCAAAGATGCAGGTATTAGAAATGACTCTTTTATGTGTTAACGCGATGAAATACGCCTACGAGTTTCTATATTCAAATTCTAGCTAGAACACTACATAAAATAACTTCATACTTTGGCAAAACGTAGTAAATATAGTGATATGTTCAAAAATAAAATAAAAATGATAGGTCACCGAGCATTTTCTTAAGCTGCAGGTAGTGACATAATGACACATTTTGTATGGATTACACAGGAAAAAACATCACCATGTGATTAGAAGCTAAATAAAAGATAGAATTGTAAATAAAATACGAGCAGATAGCTTTCAAAAAAGATAGCCGTACGTTTTTTCGGGCTAAAATATAAAATAGCTAAATTTCATGTAGATTCCTTCAGAAAATGCACTATTTTAGAGTTGCCTCCCCTTAAAATGCCATTCAAACATTAAAAATAAAACTAAAAATAATCTACGCTTGTACAAATATTAATATATATAGGTTAAATTATTATGAATTTGATCTTTGAAATGACAATTCACATTAGTTACATTTTGTATCTGTATTCTTGTATCAAATTTTGCTAACTTGATTGAAAATCTGGACCTTAGGTTCTCTGTTTTTTACATTCCTAGATGGCGAAAGACATGAGTTGATAATAAATATCTACAATGACAACATTCTTATCCCTATACTATACTAGTTTCAGTGTCGTAGTGATAAAAAATTTGAAAAAAAATAATTACCATGACTAGATCTTCTCCCTGTATCACCCTGGTAACCGTAATTGCAGACTTAGTGGTATCATTTGGAGTGGTAAGTGTTGTCCATACGCCATCTGTATATGTTGTCATGCACTGTTTAAAAGATTAATACTTAAGTCAACGAAATATTCAAATTTTAAAGTAAATTTGGATTTTATTAGATAAATACTTACCATCATAAATTCTGAGTGTAACCCCAATTGCGTCATAGGTCAGATGGAAAATCCCGACTAAAAATAAACGTACTCTCACTGGTCCGGACATATACCCCTGTTTGCCCATATTCTCCCATTCAATTTCCTCAAGACAGAAACGTAAGGAAAGGGGATGAAGGGGAGGTGGGTGGGACCTATAATTTATGATGGTAAGTATTTATCTAATAAAATCCAAATTTACTTTAAAATTTGAATATTTTATAGCTATAAATACGTTACCATCATAAATTCTGAGTAACAGAATCTAACGTAAAGCTGAATCCCCTGTAACAGAAGAAACAGGAGGAAAGTTCAATCTTTGTGCTGAAACTATAGGTCCAAGAGAGTATAAACTCTCGGCAAAAGTAGCCATAGATTGGAGGTAATGAGATATAAAAGAGTTCTCATTTCTCCAGAAACCTGCAGACAGTACCTCTTCTAAAGATGCACTGTTAAACAGAGCCCAGGATGTAGAGATACCCCTAACATCATGAGCTTTAACATTAAAACTATTTAAAAGTTCTGCCTTAGAAGAACCATAAGCTAAAGATATGCATTTGCATATCCAAGTAGAAATAGTTTTAACAGAAAGATCTGAGATTCCTTTTTTAATAGGAATAAAGAGTCTTGAGTTAGAAACAGAACGTAAACTACACGTTCTATCCAGATAAATAGAAAGGATTCTTACTGGACATAAAAGTACAGAAATAGAATCACTAGGGAGTGCAGGAATCACGACTGGTTCTGCACCCTTATCTGGAATCTGATTCTTTGCCAAAAAAGCAGGATCCGTTAAAAGAGTAACAGAAGATTTATCCCTGTTAAATCGAAGGCAAGCATCAGAAATAGAGAAGGCATGGATTTCACTCCTTCTCCGGCCAGAAGCCAAAGCTAAAAGAAAACAGCATTTATAGGAAAGAAACCTTAAATCTATTGTTTCTGCTGGTTCAAAAGGAGGAAGTTTTAAAAAGGATAAAACTAGTCCAAGGTCCCACTTAGGAACTAAAGTTTTTTGTCTTGGTCTTTCAAGACTAAAACTACGAACCAAAAGAGAAATATGCTCATTGTTTCCAAAATCTGGGCCACCAGAAATATGAATAGTTCTTGAAATAGCTGATCTATATCCCTTAATAGTAGAGGGACATAATCCTTTGGATTCAAAAAGAAAAACTAGAAAGTCTGCTAATTGTTGTACAGTGACTTGGAAAGGATCAATTTCCCGCTCACTACACCAATCTGAGAAGATTGACCATTTTGCATCATAGACAATGCTAGTGGAGTCTCTGACAGACTTTGTGAGATGCTTGGTTGCTCCTTCAGAAAAACCTCTCTTTCTGAGGCTAACCCTGAGAGAAGCCAGGCGTGTAGATGAAGTTTTTCTGGATTTTGATAAAGAACCTTGCCCTTGATTTGAGACAGAAGGTCTGGTCTCAGAGGTAGAACTAGAGGACAAGCACATGATAGGCGGAGAAGGTCTGGAAACCAAGACTGTTTCGGCCATGCTGGAGCAATAACTATGATCTTGCAATTTTCCCCTGCTATTTTCTGAAGTACTGGGGAGAGAAACCTGAAAGGAGGGAAGGCGTACCCGAACATTCCTTTCCAAGATAGGCTCATTGCGTCTACCGCAAAAGATTTTGGATCTGGAACCGGAGACACAAATGTTAGAAGTTTGTGATTGAGACTGGTCGCAAACAGATCTATCTGAGGTGACCCCCAATGAAGAGTCACAGCTTTGAAAACTACTTGAAGTAGTTCCCACTCCGTGTTTACTGGAGCAAGGGATCTGGATAGAGTGTCGGCTAGAATATTGAGGTGCCCCGCAATATGTCTCACCACTAGATGAACCTGGAGTTGAAAACACAGAAGGAGAATGTCTCTGGCTATCTGATAAAGAGAAGGTGAATGAGTTCCTCCCTGATTCTTGAGATAAGCTACAACTGTTGTGTTGTCCGTGGCCAGAATGACAGACTGATTCTTTAGAGACATTTGGAAATGATTCAGTGCAAACAGAACTGCTTTCATTTCCAATACATTGATATGCTCTTCCAAAAGATCTGGATTCCAGACTCCCGAGATTGTAAGCCCCTCCAGATATGCTCCCCAACCGAGGGTGGAGGCATCTGTGAATAATGTTAGACTGGGAACTTGAGGGGACAGACATAGGCCCCTCATTACATTTTCCCGTACTAACCACCATTGAAGGTGTGGAAATAAAGGCTGAGTGATTGGAATCAATGCTTCCCATTCTTGTGAAGCTGGAATCCATAACTTGTGCAGATAAAACTGAAGCGGACGAATGTGAAGTCGTCCCAATGGAATTACATCTGCCAGAGAGTTCAATAGACCCAGAAGTTGCAAGAATTGACGTGCTGTGACTGATTGAACCGTCAGGAATAAATGTATTTTCTGACATAGTTTTGTAAATTTTTCCTCTGGTGGGAGGACTAGGCCTACACTGGTTAGGAAATGTTCTCCCAGGAAAACAAAGTCTTGAGAAGGAATTATCTCTGACTTTTTCCAAGAGATTAGGAAGCCTAGGGACAGAAAACAATTGATGACCAAATCTGTCTGAACCCTCAATTTGATTGGGCAAAATTCCTTGAGAAGGGAATCGTCCAGGTAGGAATGAATCTGAATAGACAGGGAATGTAGGTGAGCTATAGCTGCCTGCATGATTTTGGTAAAAGCCAAAGGGGCTGTAGACAGGCCAAAAGGGAGAGCCTTGAACTGGAAAACTTTGTTGTTCCAAACGAAGCGAAGGTATTTCCTGTAAGTATGGGAAATGGGAATGTGGAAATAAGCATCTGAAAGATCCAGAGAAGTAGTCCACATTCCTGGAAGGATTGAAGCCCTGATTGATCTGTTGGTTTCCATTTTGAAATGGGGAACAATAAGAAAGTTGTTCAGAATAGATAGGTCTATGACCGGCCTCATTCCTCCAGTCTTCTTTGGAACCAGAAAAAGACGGGAATAAAATCCCGGAGACAGAGTTAAGAGCGACACCTCCTCTATTGCAGATTTTTGTAACATTGTGTCCACTTCTACTGATAGAAGTTGATACTTGACTGGGTCTTGAGTATGAGACAAACTTATTGGAACTGCAGACAGAGGAGGTGGGTTCTTGAACTGAAGTGTTAATCCCCCTCGAATTATTGACAGCACATAACAGTCTGAGGTAATTTTCTTCCACTGATTTAGGAAAAAACTTAACCTCCCCCCTACTGGTATTGATTTTTGAGGAACTTGTTGTAAATTTTCCCCTGGGGAAGCTGTCAATAACGTACGAGGGGGCAAGAACCTAGGTACTAGACCCAGGTTTCTTGGGACCCTTAAAACCACCAGAAGGCTTACCTGAGCTTTTTCCGGAGTTATTGGGTTTGTTCTGCGGTTTGCCGTAGTTATTCTTCCTTTTCTTAGCAGAAGAAGGAGGACCACCTGAAGCAGAAGTACTAGTAGAACTAGATGTAGCATTAACCGACCTCTTGCCATTAGTAACTTGTACACTAACTTTGACTGGAGGAGGGTTTTTGCTGAGTTCCTCTTGAACCCGCTGTAAGGGTAAACCAAACATCTTGTCAGTAAGTGGAGATTTCAGTAAAGAATCTTTCAAAGGCTCAGCGACAGAAATGTTTTCGAGAAACTCTGCTCTTTTAGATAGGGTGCAATTAGCAATAGAACCCATTAAAAGCAACTGAGATGAACCTAGAGCTTTATCCAGTTGAAGTAAGAAGGATCGTACTTCTGCTGGAACAACCGAATCTTCGCTGTTAAGCAAATGTCCGGTTGCAGCTAGAAAATGTTCGGCTGTGCCAAGAACTTGAGAAGCACTACGAAGGAGATTCTCAGTCTTTGACCAAACAGGTTGAGTGAGACGAAGACCATCTACTGGCTTTTTTCCCAATAAAGATGACATAGATTTGTCACAACTGGGAACAAGTCTACCCAGTGAAGAATCAAAGATATCAAAATCCTTGTACTTAACCTGATCAGAAAAGGATGACATTCCAAATCCAGAGATATTGTTATTAGCAACCTTTTCACTAGCAGAATTAGCGATACCTTCATTAATAAATTGTAAAGCAAATGCCATATGGCCAGATTCAGGAAAAGAATTGTGAGAAGTCACAGTATCCTGAGAAATACCACAGGAAGCTTCAAAAGTTGAAGAAGGTTTCTTCGGCTTGGAAGGAGAGGCAAAAGGGATATGTGCTTCATCCCTCATCAAGGTATACACCTTATCCCTAAGATCCTTCAAGGATGGAGGATCCTCAGTCTCCTTGGTGGGAGGTTGTTGAGCTGACTTAAAAGAAGAAGGCTCAGGGGCCGTCTTCGATACCTTGGGAGAAGAAGAACTTTCAACATCCTCATCATTGAGGAAAGCCCTTTCATGACTCCCAGGGGAAACAGAAAGCTCGTCATCCTCCCTCTCATCACATTCTACAGACTTAGCTGGAGAAGGTTGATGAGAAGAAACTCTATTCTTCAGTAGAGACATACGACTGGATAGAGTACTAAATTCAGCCTTGAAAGACTCACCAAAGTCCAAAAGTAACTTCTGAAAACCATCCAAAGATGATGCATGATCAGAAACCTGAGTACCATGAGAAGAGCTAGAAGATTGAGCTCGAGAGTCAGGTACGGTGGTAGAAGGAGCTACTGCAGGAGTCAAAGATACTGCTACGGGTGGAGCAGGAGCTAAAGGTGGTGCAGTAGCTACCCCAGAAGGGGGACCATAGAAATTGTCCCTATAAGGCCAAAAACCAGGTTGGTTTGGCATAAACCCACCATAAGGGTAAGACTGTGGCCAAGGTGGCTGAGACCATGAGGGTAAAGGTTGTGTGCCCGAGTTGGGAAGCATATACCCACAATAGGATAATGGGGGTCTAGAACCTGGCA